GGCTCATTAGATGATCTAGAACCTATCCATCATCTTCAGCATTTCCAGTTAAAGTGCCCACCCAATGTCCACGTTCTAGATTACTTCTGGATCCTGGAACACTCCTAGTCAACATCTCTGTTCCGTTGTCACCGCAGGCGTGTTTTAAGTGCTAGGTTAGATGCTAAATTCCAGGCATGTATTTTTTCCCAGGTAAATTCAGATATTTAGATAATCCCCCCAAGCCAAATTCTGATCCCACCATCTCCTCAGACATGTTCCAAATTTTTAGAAACCAGTCCTTGCTTATTCTCTGCTAAATGTTCATTTTAAGTGTGTTTTAAGTTCCAGCCACATCCTTGGCATCGTTCCAGATTTTATTATCTTTCCAGGGGCATTCTAAGGTCTAGAATATGTGTCTTCCAGTTATGCGCTCTTTCTCCAAATTATGCTGTCAATTCTAGAATGCACTTTTCTGCTTTGGATTCCATCCAATCCTACAGTCTTAAATCTAGAGGAGTCCCACCGAAGTGTTCCACCTTACATCTTCCTTTCTCAGGTTATAGATTCTATTTCCACTTTCTCTGTCCAGCTTTTCCTTAGTGTGACGTTAGTTTAGAACTTGTTCCCCTGGTGGATTGCAGGCTTCCTCCTCCATCTGCCACTTCAGCATTCTAAGCATGCTCTAGGCTCACTCCTGTTCTGGAGTCTTCAGCCTAGAAATGTCCTCATTTCCAGAACATCCCTCCTCGCCTTTGCCAGCTCAGTCCTTATGCCAGTAAATTCTCTACTCCCAGCATGCATCCTTCTGCATCTTCCCCCAGGCACTTCTAAGTTCCACGCAAACTCCTTGCTACTCTGTAGGTTTTTCCTCACCTCCAGGGCACGTTTTGAATTCTAGAGCACATCTTCTGCATTCTGAGTTCTAGCATTATCGAGACACATAATGAAACCAAGAATGCAACTCTCGCTATACTCTGTCATACCTACATCCCTGGTAGATTCTGAGTTCTACGTTATGTCTCCTGACTAGGCTTGTTGTGCATTACATTAGATATATTCCTAAATATAATCCTGGGGTCACCCAGATGCTCTTTAAATTATCGATTGCTCTCGGCTGATTCAAAGTTCCAGACCTGGGTTCTAGAATATGTCCCGTGTGCGGCTGTTACCCCAAGCACCTTGTAAATGTGGGAGCATATATCCTTTTGGCACTCTGTACTGTGTCTACATGCCAGTGACTTTCTAGATCTTTGCCCAGCCTTGCTACGTTTTGTTTGTTTCTCAGTGAATTTAAAGTTCTAGCGCAGCCTCCCTAAAGCATATTGGGTTGCATCTCCTGAGTAGGTTCTCATTTTTAGCTACCATGTTAATTTGGGACCGAAGGATGGTCTGCCCTCTTACAAACATTTTCCTAAATCTGGCCTCTGAGCGCTGGGTTTCACGTATCTAGATTCCCAGATGCACCTGCTCAGAGACCCAAAGGATGCAGCTGCCTCTTCCCTCCAGGTCCCAGGGCTCTCAGTCCCCTCCTCTGATTACAGGAGTCCAAGGCTCCAGTCCCAGGCTTTGGACACAGTCTGCATTGGGTGGGGCTGGGAATTATCTACTCTCAGAACCGGTTATGCCTCTGCCGGAAGGGAGAGAAGGAAAGGAGGGAACAGAGTGAAAGTCCCTCCCGCTTTCTGCTGGGCCAGCTGGGCCTGTCTGACCTGATGTGAGCGTGGGAGCAGCTCAGGAGACCTCGCTTCATCTCCGCCCGCAGCTCGTGTACCCGGACTCCTGGGCCCTGGGGGAGGTGGGGTCTGAAGGCTGGGATTTCAAGGTCCAAGGTTGGAGGTCGAAAGCCCAGACTCATACCCCAGGGGAGGAAGGAGTGTGGTGTCTGACTCTGGGATGGAGAAGGAGGGGTCTGGAGGCTCACACTCCTGAGTCCGGGGAAGGGAAGGGCCTCCAGGACCTAGACTCCTGTGACCTGAGGAAGGAGGGAGCTGAATCCCGGACACCTGGGTCATAGGAGATGGCTATCACGCTGGATGCCCACCATGCTTTCCCCCATCCCCCACCAAGTCTGGAGCAGAGGTCCAGATGAGAAATGGAAGGAGGGAGGAGCTGGATAGCAGGCAGCCACATATCAGTGGCCTAATTCCGTGACCCCAGTCCCGTGTCCCTCTGCAGGCATGGTCCTCTGCTGGGGCTCAGTTGTCTCACTGAGGCAGTGGGTTGAGGGGGATCCTCAGCAGGGCCAAAACAGATAGAGACTGATTTTTCCAGTCACTGAGTCAATGCCTGGGTCACCAACTTCGGTTCTCGGACTAGGCTAGGCCTAGATTTGCCGCCAGGGCCTGACAGAGTCTGACCTCGGTTTCCCCAAATACTCTCACGCAGGTAGCCAGGCCCGGTGTCCTGAGGGCAGAGTTTTAGTTTATCCTGTGCTATGATCAGAATGGACAGGCCTCAGTTTCTTCTGTGCAATGCCTGGGTGGTCCGACCAGTTTCCTCTATGTAGTATCAGAGTGGCCCGCTGTGCCTCATTTTCTCTGCCTGTGTCTTCACGAGGCCGGTCTCTGCTCCCTGGCCCCTCCCCGCACCTGCAGGCCAGCACCGCCGCCATGATGTGCGAGGTGATGCCCACCATCAGCGAGGATGGCCGGCGGGGCTCGGCGCTGGGCCCGGACGAGGCGGGCGGCGAGCTGGAGCGCCTCATGGTCACGATGCTCACGGAGCGCGAGCGCCTGCTGGAGACGCTGCGCGAGGCGCAGGACGGGCTGGCTACGGCGCAGCTGCGGCTGCGCGAGCTGGGCCACGAGAAGGACTCGCTGCAGCGCCAGCTCAGCATCGCCCTGCCCCAGGTCTGGGCGGGGCCGGGGTGGGGCCTGCGGGAGGCGGGGCCTCGACCAGAAGGCGTGGGGCGTGGGGGGCGGGGCTCGGTGCATGGAAGGGCGGAGTCAGGGAAGCCGGCTTCGCGGGTGATGGGCGGGGCCTGAGCCGCTGGAAGGGGCAGGGCTTAGCCGGGAGGGCGGGGCCTTCAAGCAGCCCTTCCGATTGTCCCGATCTTGCCCACATCTGGACAGGAGTTTGCGGCTCTGACGAAGGAGCTGAACTTATGTCGGGAGCAGCTGCTGGAGCGGGAGGAAGAGATTGCAGAGCTGAAGGCGGAGCGGAACAACACGAGGGTAAGGGGTGCTGGGGCCGGGGCCTAAATGGAGTGGGCGGGGCCTCAGGTGTTGCAGCCTGACCCATCTTTAGTCCTTTCTCACCTTTCTGTCTTCTCTCTGCTCTCACTTCCTGGCCGATCTCCTCTGGTCCTATACTTCCTTCATGTCCTCTCCCCTGTCTCCATAATGGTCTCTATTCCTGTATCGCTCCTTTCTTGACCCCGACCCTACTGCTAACATCCTTTTCTCTTTTCCGGACCTATCTCGTTCCCTTACCCCTTTGCTTGGCGCCGCCTCTTGTCCATGTGTCCGTGCACCCCATCTATCTGAACCACGTTTTTCCTCTTCCCTGCCTCTCTTCCCTTGCCTCTTTTCTTTGGCCCGGTGCCTTGTCTCTGTAGCTTCTCTTGGAACACCTGGAGTGCCTGGTGTCCAGGCACGAGAGGTCACTGCGCATGACCGTGGTGAAGCGCCAGGCCCAGTCTCCCGGCGGGGTCTCTTCCGAGGTGGAGGTGCTCAAGGCTCTAAAATCCCTTTTCGAGCACCACAAGGCCCTGGATGAGAAGGTATGGGAATGGAAGAGCCTGGGTGGCTGGGGCTGTCTGGGACTGAGGAGATTCTGACTGTGATTGGTTGGCGATGTCCTAAGTGGGAAGAAGGTTGACTGCGACTGACTGAGACGGGCTATGCAGACCGGGATCTAACTGGTCGATGATGGAAAAAGGGCGGGGCAGCTTTGGTAACTGGTTTGGGTTGCACATCCATTATAGATAGAGGAATTCTAACCGTTGCCCTGTCAGGCCCATTCCGGGGTGAAGTGCATCATGGTCACCTGTCCTAGATTGGATCTGATCTCCATCTCGTTTCTGTCCTGCCCCATCCCTAGGTCCGGGAGCGACTGCGGATGGCGCTGGAGCGGGTGGCAGCGCTAGAGGAGGAGCTGGAGCTGAGCAACCAGGAGGTGGGGGCATGGCCACGAAGGGGAGGGAGGGGCTAAGGAGCTCCCAAGAGGGCAAGCTGATTCTGGGTTCCAGAATCTGTTGTGGGCAGTACTAGAGTCGAGGTCCGGTGGGGTTGGACTGTGGAGAGAGCCAGTGGGGTTCCTAAGGAGGAACTCACTGGGCAGGGCTAAGAGGAGAACCGCCCAGTGAAGGTGAGTCTAAGGTGAGAAACAGCGGCTGGGACAAACAGAAAGAACCCGCTCCCAAGGGAATGGTTGAATGGGCAAAGTCAGGGCTAAAGAGGACACCTCCGCCAGGAGGCTGAGCACAAGAGAAGGCTGGACTCCCGCCCTGCTGGGCAGCTAAGGAGAGATATGAGATCACAAGGTCTCAGGATAGACTGTGGGGTGGGCGTGGCCCCAACCGGATTGGAGTCACCGATGAGCTCTCCTTAGAGAGTTTGTGCCAGGGGGAAGTAGAACTAATCTTCCATTTGCCCTGATCTCCCTTTCCCATTCCTAGACTCTGAGCCTTCGAGAGCAGCTGTCTAGACGCCGGTCTGGGCTGGAGGAGCCTGGCAAGGAAGGGGACGGGCAGGTAAGAGGTAGAAGTCCTTCGCTCCCCATGCTCTTCATTGGTCCCCATCCTCATGACCTCCCTCAGCCCTCTGACTTTGTGATGGTCCTTTTAACATTTGATATGATCCTCACCGATCCTAGGACGTCTGATCTCCTAAGACCCTTACTGGCCTTTGACCTTTGATTCAGGTCACTTAGCTAACCTCTGCGACCTCCATGACCCGAACCGATCTGTGATTCACTCTCCACCCCCACTGGCTTTCTCCTCGCATTCTCTCCATACCCACTCCGGGGTCTGTCCCTTCCTCCCTCACTGTCTCCACTCCAGACCCTTGCCAATGGCCTGGGTCCTGGCGGGGACTCTAGCCGACGCACGGCAGAGCTGGAGGAGGCCCTGGAGCGGCAGCGTGCGGAGGTGTGCCAGCTGCGGGACCGCCTGGCGGTGTTGTGCCGCCAGATGAGCCAGCTGGAGGAGGAGCTGGGCACCGCCCACCGCGAGCTGGGTAAGGCCGAGGAAGCTAACGCCAAGCTCCAGCGCGACCTCAAGGAGGTGAGGCCGGAGCCCCTGGTGGGCTGCCCTCTGTCCCTCCCTTCCCCTAACCCTCCCTGTCCCCCTTTGCCCAAAGTCGCAGAGCTCATGAATAGTGGAACCTGGATTCAGCCCACAAGCTATGTAGATTCTCCTCCACCCTGAGCCCGTTTCCTCACCTGTAAAATAGGGCTTTTGCCCTTTGTCAGAGGGTTGGCAAGTAGCACATATATGGTAGGTGCTCAGTAACTAGTCACAGTTTTGTTATCATTGGGAAATTCTCTCGTGCCTCTAAACTGAATGCTTTGTCCGCATTTCATCCCATCTTGGCTTAGGCTCCTTGATCCTAACTCCCATGTCCCAGAGACTGCTGGGAAGTGTAGGGCATGAATTCTTGAAGGTCCTGGATGAGAAAGAAGAGTGAGCGTCATGCACTAGGGCCGTTTTAAGCCTGGGGCCCGTTGGGAAATGCGATCCACCCCCAAGGGGGCTCCCAGGCAGGGTCCATCTCCCACGAGCACCTTCTCTTGGGTTCTAAGCCTATGCTACCCTGGGACATCTTGGGAGATGTTGCCTCCCAAATGGAAGGGACCTTTGTTTCCCATGAGACCCTAGGGCACTTGCTCTATAATTTTAAGCCTGGGCCAGAAGTTGCTGAAAAAAAATCTCAGGCCTGGATTTTTGAGGCGAGTGGTTTAAGGAGTGTGGAGACTTCCCATCCTGTGGGCCTTAGGTCATTCATACAGGAGGGGTCTAAGCCAGTTCTGCCCTAGAAGCTACCACCATATTCATTCTTAGGCAGCAGGGGACCTAACATTGGCTATACCCGGGAGCTCTTGGCAGGTGCAGTTCCACTATTCTGATGCCCGGTATGGCAGGGGACTTCATTTCCCAGGATTCCCTGGGGTGCCTGGTGGGGGTTCTAAGCCTAGGCTACCCCCGGGCCTTCCAGAAGCCGAAGCGCACGCGGCCCTTTGCCACCTCTGCAGGCGCTGGCTCAGCGGGAGGATATGGAGGAACGGATCACGACGCTGGAGAAGCGCTATCTGAGTGCCCAGCGCGAGGCCACGTCTCTGCACGACGCCAACGACAAACTGGAGAACGAGTTGGCCAGCAAGGAGTCGCTGTACCGGCAGGTGGGGGGGGTGCGCGGCCAGAGAGGGGCGATGGGGGCGAGGTCGTGGCTCGTGTGACCTAGCTCCTCCCTTCCCCGCGTCTCTGTCCTCTCCTAGAGTGAAGAGAAGAGTCGTCAGCTGGCGGAGTGGCTGGACGACGCCAAGCAGAAGCTGCAGCAGACCCTGCAGAAGGCGGAGACCTTGCCCGAGATCGAGGCGCAGCTGGCCCAGCGAGTGGCAGCGCTCAATAAGGTGACGGGAGGCCTGGGGTGGTAATGGCAGCAGGGGGAGGGGACAGGGCCTGGAGGACTCAAGTCTGGTGGTGGGACTGGGAGGGGAAGGTGGATAGGAGACCGGCATCGTGGATTCTGGGTAAAAAGATGGGGCAAGGGATGAGACTTGGAATGGGAGCAGAACCTGGAGGTTTCGGGGTGGAGACATTCTCTAGTGCGGACTGAAAGGTGGGGTGGCCTGGAACGTGAGCTAAGAAAGAAACGGGGCCTGTAGGTGGGGGCAGGGCCTGAATCGCACGTGTTGGGCCTGGAGTCCTGCGGTGGAGGAGCCTGGAGCCTTAGGGTCCGGGTCTGGTGCCCAGTCTCGGCAGAGGCAGGACTGGAGCCTGACTGGGTCCTAGTGGGGCAATGACAGATGTCATGGGTTCCGTCCCCTAGGCTGAGGAACGTCATGGGAATTTTGAGGAGCGGCTTCGGCAGCTGGAGGCCCAGTTGGAGGAGAAGAACCAGGAGCTACAGCGGGTGAGGGGACAGATGACGGCAGTAAGGGCGGGGCTTTCGGGCTGGAGGAGGGGCTTGGGCGAGGGGGCTGGTCTGGGGGCGGAGCTTAGGACAGGGGCGGTGCTCTGGGCCAGGCCGGCTTTAGCACCCTCTCACCTTTGGGCAGGCCCGGCAGCGGGAGAAGATGAACGATGACCACAATAAGCGGTTGTCTGAAACAGTGGACAAACTGTTGAGCGAATCCAATGAGAGGTTACAGCTTCACCTCAAGGAGCGCATGGGGGCGCTGGAGGAGAAGGTGCGTCTCAACCCAGGACTCCCATAACCCGGCATCTTGGACCGCCTGTCGCCGGAACCCCGCGGCCTCAGATCTCTACCCCAGATCCCTCTTTATCTGAGATCTCAAACCTGGGCATCCCGAATTTGACAGACTTCTCTGCTCTATTGCGGGACCACTCTTTGACCTAGTCTAAACACCCCAAGAGCTAAATTCTGGGGCACCCATACCCTGAGTTTTTGGCTTTTCCCCAAGCCTCTAACCTTGTGGACCCTCCAACTGAATCCTCTGATCACACAGGACGCGGAATTCAGAGGCTCCCAGGGACTCTCCTCCCCCGCTGCATCTTTAGCCAACACCCTAAACACCCTCCACCTCTCAGTTCTTGCCCACCTCATTCCCCCTGGGGTCCTCTCAGGCCCCCAGAGCATGTCTTCCTCAGGGTCTGCCCCCTCACTGCACCCCTGTCCCCCACAGAACTCCCTGAGTGAGGAGATTGCCAATATGAAGAAGCTTCAGGACGAGCTGCTGCTGAACAAAGTAGGAAGGGGCCCAGAGGGGTGACCGGAGGGGTGGACTGGAGGGGTGGACCGGAGGCGTGGCCTGGAGGGGTGGAGCGGGCGAGCCTGGAGCCTGGCGGTGGAATCGGCCGGGCCCCCGGAGCGCTCCGCGGGGCACATTCCGACCTGACAGCCCCCATTTGCTCCCCGCAGGAGCAGCTCTTGGCAGAGATGGAGCGAATGCAGATGGAGATTGACCAGCTGCGGGGGAGGCCACCATCCTCCTACTCCAGGTGATGATACCTTCCTGCTCCACCTCTGCTCATGGACCACCCTGGCCAAGCTCATCCTTTCTGAACCCTTGGTCTCCTCCGCCCCACTTCCTGTCCTCCTGAGACTTCTTCCACTCATCCCTGATTTTTGACCTTTCACCCCAGACCCTTTTGCCTGACCTTTGACTTCAGGTCCCTCTCCCAGTCCCCAGACCCTGGCCCTCCCCTGCGGTCCTTTACCTCTGTTTCCTTTTCCTGGCCCCTTGGCCTCTGAGTGCCCTTCCCATGCCCACAGGTCTCTCCCTGGCAGTGCCCTGGAGCTCCGTTACTCCCAGGCACCTACCTTACCTTCTGGTGCCCACCTGGACCCCTATGGGGCTGGCAGCGGCCGGGCAGGCAAGAGGAGCCGCTGGTCAGGAGTCAAGGATGAGCCCTCTAAGGTCAGCAGCCACTTCTGGGGCACGGGCAGAGCAAGGCCTGGGAGGGCAATGGTGGGAAATGGGTCTAGTATGCGGAGCTCTGGACGGGGTTGGGCGGAGAAGCAGAGTCTCCTGGACCCACACTGTCTTCTCTCCTTCTCCCCCAACCCCATCACCCCCACTGCCTGGCTGTCTCTTCATGTGGAAATTCTGCTGCCTGGTGAGGACTGTAGAGGGATGATGGGGTAGGGAGAGGGATGATGGGGTCTGGAATGATGGGCAGGGTATGGAAGTCTAGAATGGGTGACGTGAAGACAGGAAGTGGGCAGAGCTTCACAGGAAACGGTGAAGTCAGGGAAGGAAGTGGAGTCATCGGTGGGGGGTGGTCAAGAAAACGGACCCGTCGAGAGAGATAATGGGGCTGGAAAAAGTGTGGGGGCTGGATCACGCGGTGAGGGCAGTCGGTGCTGGGCGATGTGGGCAGGATCACGGAGGGCGGACGAGGTCAGGAGAGCTGAAGGAAGACCCAGCGCCTGCCTTGACCCCCGTCTACCTGGTGTCCCTCTGTCTCCACACAGAGACAGGAGTGGGAGCGATCTGCCCCTGCGGGGTCCATGCCACCCCCGTTTCCTGGGGAACTGGATGGCTCAGATGAGGAGGAGGCAGAGGGGATGTTTGGGGCTGAGCTGCTGTCCCCCAGTGGGCAGGCGGACGTACAGACACTGGCCATCATGCTTCAGGAGCAGCTAGAAGCCATCAACAAGGAGATCAAGTGAGTGCTGGCCCAGTCCTGCTCTGCCGCTGGCCCTGGAGTCTGATCTGAAGGCCAGAGTCCATGTTCTCTCCCACCATCCTCAAGGAATTGTCCCAACCCAACACCCCTCCAGTATCCAGGAGTCCCCAAAGATATACCCAGAAGTCTCCTATGTAAATATATACATTCATCCCCCAGTCAGTACTCACGATTTCCCAAGACGGCAAAGACTGTACCCCGAAATACCCAAATTCTCAATCCAGTACATCAGGAACCCTCCGGTATACCATGGATTTCATGGCTTCACTCACCAGTATCCACGGATTCCCAGTACCCCAAGAATCTCAGCGCAATACAAGCTTCCCATCCCCAAACACCAAGAATCTTACCCCAACACATCAAGAACTGCAACTCTCTACACCAAGAATTTCTAACTAATATCAAGAATCTTCAGTTTATTAAGACTTCTCCCATCAAGTAAAGTCCACCCCGATTCCCCAGAGACTATTTAGCAATTTCCTCATAACCGGTTCTCCTTGGTCCCAACAAACATACCGACGTGAGCATCACCTTCCATTCAAAGTTGTTCTGACTTGAGGCATCGGCTCTCACATATGAGATGACTCCAAGAGCTTTCCCGGACCCTAGGCTGACCTCAGAGCCCCCGATCTCGTCTTGATCTTATCGGGACCGTGTGCTTGCCATCCTCCTTGGAACTTGACCTCTTGCCCATAGTAATCCCTTTACGATTTTCCAGAACCACTAAGTTTTCACCCTGACGCAGACCTTGAGCATCCTCTCTAATCCCTCCACGACCTCCTGAGCTTATCAAGACCTTTAACTCCCCTTGAACCCGTGAGCCATCGGGAATCCACCAGGGCCCTTGAACCTCGTTATGCCTTCCCTGGAATTATTTTGCTTTCTGGCCCGTTGGGCTCTCCGGACTCCTCCCGTTTGTCTGCCCCATTCTTCTCACTCAGTCTCCCCACTTTCCCTCCTCAGGCTCATCCAAGAGGAGAAGGAGACAACGGAACAAAGGGCAGAAGAGCTGGAGAGCCGGGTGTCGGGCTCCGGCCTGGACTCGCTGGGCCGCTACCGCAGTAGCTGCTCACTACCCCCCTCCCTCACCACCTCTACCCTTGCCAGCCCTTCCCCTCCCAGTTCCGGCCACTCAACACCCCGTCTGGCACCCCCTAGCCCTGCCCGCGAGGGCACCGACAAAGCTGTGAGTGTTCTGAAGTTTCCCCAGCTCGGTGGGGTGGGTACGAGGTCAGACACCGGGCTCCCCAACACATGCAATGAAAACTGCAGACACCAGTGTTTCTCAAAAGCAACTTTCGCTTTCCCTAACCGTTCCAACTCAAAGGGCAAAGGGAAGGCTGAGCCACTGGGTTTCTGAACCCTGATGTGTACTTTAGTTAGATCTGGTCTACTTTTGCCTGTTTTATGCGCTATGTTTCTACATAGGATTTTTTTTTTTAATGTTTCTATGACTAAACATATATTTGAGAACTACCGTTAGATCCTCAGAATTGACTTTTGAGAGAGGCAGAAGAGATATCAGCCCTATTTTGTTGCCTTAAAGCCAAGCTTTCCTGCTTCCAGAACCTGTAACCTATCAGCTTTACCTGAGACTGTGCAAATCCCACTCCTGACACCATAGGATAAGATACTATAAATACGGGATTGTCATCCTCCAGTGGGACTCTGCTCATCGGCTTTATTTTTCTGCGGTTCACCCCCACTCGATATAGGCTACGTTCAGAAATGGTGCCCCAAACTACGGGCATCTCAGCCCCTCCCTAGTAGACATCCCAACGAATGAGGAGCCCGCACCGTGACTCCTCCAACTCAATCCAGCCTCTCTGCCTCTCTGTTCCCAGAATCATGTCCCCAAGGAGGAACCTGGGGCTCCACGAGGAGAGGGGCCAGCCATCCCAGGAGACACCCCACCTCCCACGCCCCGCTCTGCCCGACTTGAGAGAATGACCCAAGCTTTGGCACTGCAGGCGGGATCCCTGGAAGATGGGGGACCCCCACGGGGAAGGTCGGTAGAGACAAAGAATCGGACAGGGACGAGCTTGCTTGGGAGGCTGAGATGGGCCTGGACAAGGACTTGGGATGAGAGGAGGCATCCCAGATGGGGTCTGCTCTCACTCTGTCTTTCTCACTCAGTGAGGGTACCCCAGATTCCCTGCACAAAGCCCCCAAAAAGAAGAGCATCAAGTCATCCATAGGCCGTCTCTTTGGCAAGAAAGAGAAGGGGCGAATGGGACCCCCTGGTCGCGACAGCTCTTCCCTGGGTGAGTACCCTGATCCCAACGCTTCCTTTTTCGTTATATATTCACTTGACATTCATTCACGTCTTCATTCATTTGGTAATCCATTTAGAATATGAAGGGACAGGACTCGGCAGAGGAAGAGGGAAGGAGGAGGGACAAGGAAAGGGCCCCCCTGAGGCATGTTCGCGTGACCGGAGGGATACATGAATTTATTTCATTTACCTTTTTTTATTTTAATAGAAAAAGAGGAAGGAGAATCCTAAAGGTAGGCATCTGGGTGTTGGATCCAGTTTGTACGGCCTCATGAGAGCCAATAGCTACATTTTCAGGAGTTTTGTGAACTACTTGACATCACAATGGTAGCTTGAAATTAGCGTGGTAGGATTATTTACAGCACGGAAATTGGCAGATGCTACGAATCAGGGACTATTTCCCCCGTCCCCAGGGAGCCAGCTGTTAAACACTTACCAGCCCTGTTTTGGGGATGTCTCCAGGTTACCGCCTGGGAGGTGACATTGGTCCGTGTCTGGCTTTCTCGCTCCCTCTTCGTGGCCTCATTTACTACTCCCTTGGGGCCTCCGCTTTCCTGGCATCCTCGTCACCTCTCCCGGAATGAAAGATTCTGCCTCCTCCTTGAGACTCTCCAAATTTTTGCCCCTCTCTGCCTCTAGCTGGAACACCCTCCGATGAGACGTTGGCCACTGACCCTCTGGGGCTAGCCAAGCTGACAGGCCCGGGAGACAAGGACCGAAGGAACAAGAGGAAGTGAGTGTGCGGGTGGGGAGCGGGGGGAGGACTTACAGAGATTCGCTTGCTTTTTTTTTTAACCTTCTGCCGCGTTTTCTACATTCATAAAAAGTGCTTTTGGGAGGGGGTTGTGGTGAAGGGGGCCATCCAGGGGTGCTGGGTGTCTACCCCTGAGCTCCTGCCCTGGCCCCTCTTCCCAGGCATGAACTTCTGGAGGAGGCCTGCCGCCAGGGCCTGCCCTTTGCCGCCTGGGATGGCCCCACCGTGGTCTCCTGGCTGGAGGTACCGGGGCCCAGAGATGCCCAAACCCTGTGACAACCCCATTAAGGCTGGCTGGGTCCACCCAGCAGCATCCTTCTAGCCCAGTTGTGGGGGTGGGGAAGTGGGGGTGAGGCCCTGGCAAGGCTGTTGATCTTCCTGTTCTTTCTCCCTGTCCCTCCACCCCTGCGCCATGGCCGTGCCCTCCGGTCCTGGTCTCCTGTCGTCTCTCTGTCTCTCCCCATGTCTTTCTCTCTCTGGGATTCTTCGTCTGTATTTTTTTTGCCCGTCTCCCCATCTCTGTGCTTTGTCATTCCCCATATTTCTTCCTGTGTCTCTGGGTCTCCCCATGTCTCTCTCCCACGTCTGTCTCTCATCTCTGTGCTTATCTGTCTCTCTCTATCCCTTTTGACTCTGCCTCTCCTTTCTCTGACTCTCCTCCTCTGTCTCCCTGTGACTGTCTCTTTGACTTGCCTTGTCTGTTTCTTCTCACTGCGAACTTCCTATGTCTTTCCGTTTCTCCCCGACTTGACTTTCTTTGCCCATCGCTCTGTCTCCGTCTCTCCCTTTCTTTCTGTCTCTGTCCCGTCCCTCGGGTCTCTCCTCTGCCTCTGTGTCTCCTTCTCCCCTCCCTTCCTTGTCCAGCTGTGGGTCGGCATGCCTGCGTGGTATGTGGCCGCCTGCCGGGCCAATGTCAAGAGTGGTGCCATCATGGCCAACTTGTCGGACACGGAGATCCAGCGTGAGATCGGCATCAGCAACCCACTGCACCGGCTCAAGCTGCGCCTCGCCATCCAGGAGATGGTCTCACTCACGTCACCTTCGGCTCCCGCCTCCTCCCGCACGGTGAGTGTCCAATGGCCAATCCCAGCCAGTGCTGTCTCAAGGCCCCGCCCCGTGTCCCCAGACTAACCAATCCTGGGCCTGCTTACTCCAGCAGACCGGATCCGTAGACCTACTCCCTATATGTCACCAGGATTATCTCTGGGGGGCTCTCCCCTCAGGTCTCTCTGCCTCCCCTGTCCCCCCGACCCCTCAGTATGCTTTACACACAGCGCCCAGGAGGATCGCACCCGAAGAAAAAACCAAATTCATGTGGTTCCTTGCAAGTCTCTTGAAGAGGGGTCCTTGTACCCCTCCTTCCCTGACAGCTCTGCTCCTTCGTACCTTCTGTTTCTTGCCTGGAGCACCCCTCCCCACTTCTCCCCCCAAGAACGGCTCCCTATCCTTGAGGTCTCAGCTCAGATGTCACCACTTCCAAGAAGCCTCCCTAACTCAACAGCTAAACTAGTCATGGCCCATCACCCCAGCTCATTAATGCCTAATTTTCCCCCGTAGCGTTTAATGCCTTCTAATATTTAATCCATTCGTTCCATACAGAAAATTATGTGTACCATGCCTAAATCAGCAATCATAACCCTTTGCCATACTTGCTATTTATGTGGGCGTGTTTGTTGGTGTGTACCTGAAGCGCCTGAATATAGTTTGTGGACATCATAACAAGTTAGTCTGAAAAATTACTTCAGTAGGCATCTTCTAAAAATGAGAACATTCTCATACGTAGCCACCACGCCCTTATCATACCTAAGAACATGAACGTTATTGCTAATTTCAGCTTCTGTTCAGTTTACCCTCAAATTTTCCCTTGCATATTCCAGATCTGGCACCCAGGAAGCACTACATAAATGTTTGAATGGATTCCTGACTCTTGGGATTGTGGGAGGAGGTGCTTAATAAATGTGAATACACGTCCCCTTCCCCCCAAACATTAGTCCCATTGCTCTCTGCCACCTCACTCTGAATCCACACTCTGTACGTCTGACGTCATTGGCACAGGGCCCCAAGTCACACTTGAATTTGTTTGACCCCAAAGCCCATGTTCTGGTACACAGCTGGTGCTCCATAAATGATCATTCCTTTTCTCTGTCACTGCCTAGCCCAAGCACTGACCGGCCTTTCTGAGCCAGAAAGCAGAATGTGTATAAATGTACATGGCCTGGGCCTCCAGGAGCACGACCCCTCCCCCTTCCCTATCCAGAAGCCCTCTATCACCCTCCATAACACCCCTGGGCCCTCAGTCCACAGGAAACGTGTGGATGACACATGAGGAGATGGAGTCCCTTACGGCCACGACTAAGCCCGTGAGTGCCCCCTGCCGGCGGTCTTTGGGGTGGCACTAACTCTCCCTGGGGAGGAGCGTGGGGGCGAGTCTGGCTGTCTGTACGTCTGTTCGTCCCTCCCGCCCTCCGCCTACCCCGTAACCCACCCCTTCTCTCCCCCTCTTCCCACTAACGGGTCAGGAGACCAAGGAGATCAGCTGGGAGCAGGTAGGGGGCGCGGGGCGGTGTGTGGGCGCATGAACAGGCTGTGCACGCTGCATGGACTCCCCTCCTTCTCTGAGCCCCGCCCTTACCCTTGCCCGAGCATTCCCTCGTCGCCGCGGGGGGGCGCTGCGCGGAGCTCCGCTCTGGACTGTCTCACTGTAGCTTGGTGGGGGTCGGCGTAGGAGCGCGGTGGTTCTATTGTTAGCGTGGCTCACGGGCCATCTCATTATCGAGGGTTGCGGGCGCCCCAGGGGCTGCTATAACCAGAGGGCCATGCTTAGCACCCGTTTTCCCTCTGACTGAGGGGGAAGCGGAACTGTTCCAGCTTGCCCAGCAAAGGCGAGAGCTCTTGGGGAGGGAGCGGCACATCAGGCCGAGAAGTTGGGGAGGAGGAGCTACACGTCCTCAAGAGGGAGAGGCATGAACTTAACCTCAGATGGAAGAACTGTGTTGGACTGGGGTCTTTGCTTCTAGTCGGGGGCGGGGTGGGGGGCCGCTATGGATTGTTTCCTTATGCTAACGGCAGTGTGAGACTTTGGACTGATCTAGAATATTGTCCTGGGCCAGATGCAGGATTAGACTAGTATTTTCCGGACAGTACAAGAGTGATGGACGGGTCCATTATCCTTTGCTGTGGGGAGAGCTATGCTGGAAGAATCCGTCGTCCTCACTTGGGGGAGTAGTGATGTTGAACTGATCTGTTCCGAGTTGGGACAACGCTAGATTAGTACTTCATAAACTTTAACGTACAGTTTGAGTCATCCTAGGATCTTGTGAGAATGCAGATTCTGATTCATTAGCCAGGGATGGGGTCTGAGATTCTGCAATTACACCAAATCCATGGGTGATGGTGAAGCCGCGGGTCCAAGGACCACATTTTGAGTAGACAAATCTATTGTTTCATTTTGAAGGAGTGGGAGACAATTCTGGATTGGTCTACTGTCTTGAGCAGAGATTGGCCATTGTCTTGCTATGCGGTGGCAAAAGCATAACCTTGGGTTGGGTGGGTGGGACTGTACCCTTTCATACATACATGGGAATGGGACAGAAAGGCTGACCCCTCCCCCACCTGCCCATGGCCCCAGATCCTGGCATATGGCGACATGAACCACGAGTGGGTGGGAAACGACTGGCTGCCCAGCCTGGGGCTGCCCCAATACCGCAGCTACTTCATGGAGTCGCTGGTGGACGCCCGCATGTTAGACCATCTTAACAAGAAGGAACTCCGGGGCCAACTCAAGATGGTGGACAGCTTCCACAGGTGGGGGCTGCCTGGCCAATGGGGACAGTCCAAGGGGAAGCCCCACCCCCTAGAGAGTCTTTGGCCAATGGGACTCCTCACGGGAAATTCCTTGGACTGTCTTTGGCCCTTTAGCCTGGATTCTCAGGAAATCCTGACTCCTGTACCCCTTCCAGCAATAAGATGGTCCACTAGGGAAAAGTCCAGATCCCGAGACAGCTTGGCTAGCTGACTCCACACCCCTTCCAAGTTAACCCGTACGAACTGCCCATTGACCTGCCCCGACTCCTGGGAAGGTCAGCAGTCACTGGAAGTGACCCGAATGGAACAAATCTCTCACCTCTCCCAGGAGAGCACGGGTCCATGGGGCGGGACCAATAGGAACGGCAGTCACTGGGGTTGTGAAGGCTCCTCTGTGACTCGACTTCCCCTGCTGCTCAGGGTGAGTCTGCATTATGGGATCATGTGCCTGAAACGGCTCAACTACGACCGGAAAGACCTGGAGCGGAGGCGGGAGGAAAGTCAGACCCAGATCCGAGGTGAGTAGAGGAGCGTGAGTCCCACCTGGGAGCCAGGTGGAGGGGTTTAGGGCAGGGCTGGAGAACAGGTAATTAGGGGAGGAGAGGGAGGCCAGGGTAGGAGAGTGCTGCCATAAACTCCGGGGTGGAGCAGGCATAGGGGGCGTGTCTAAGAAAGAGGAAATGGGGGTGGAGGCATGGGCCAAATTGGATGGGCCTGCAGCTTAGGCTCCCTTTCGTCCCCAGACGTGATGGTGTGGTCCAATGAGCGGGTCATGGGTTGGGTGTCTGGGCTGGGCCTGAAGGAATTCGCCACGAACCTCACGGAGAGCGGGGTGCACGGGGCGCTGCTCGCCCTGGACGAGACCTTCGACTACTCCGACCTGGCCTTGCTTCTGCAGATCCCGACGCAGAATGCGCAGGTGAGCTGCCGCTCAGCCGGGGGGCATTCCGGGCCTCCCCGCCTCGCAGCCTGCTCGCGGCAACCTCTCTCTCACCTCTCCTCCCCAGGCCCGGCAGCTCCTGGAAAAGGAATTCAGTAACCTCATCTCCTTGGGCACAGACAGGCGGCTGGACGAGGTGGGCGCCGCAGCAGCAGCTCCGGAGGCTGCGCATCTGTTGCACCTCTGGGGTCGGAGCTGAGGGGGTGGGGCTTGACTTTGCCCAGAGTCGTGGTTGGAGGCGGGGCCGGGGTAGGGGCGGGGTTAAAGAAAGACGAAATACGGAGAAGGGTGGAGTCAAAGAAAGGGTTGGAATCAAAACCGGACCCTAGTCCCTCACTAGCTGCCCGGCCCATGTACCTAGGACAGCGCCAAGTCCTTCAGCCGCTCCCCATCCTGGCGGAAGATGTTCCGAGAGAAGGACCTCCGAGGCGTAACCCCCGACTCAGCTGAGATGTTGCCCCCCAACTTTCGTTCAGCCGCAGCAGGGGCCTTGGGCTCGCCGGGGCTCCCTCTTCGCAAGCTGCAGCCGGAAGGTGGGCGGGTCCCCAAAGCGGCAGCCCTTCCCCGCTTCCCCTTCCTCAAGGTGGGAAAAGGACCAACTCGACATTCCAGAAACCTCCCTCTCCAGGCTCTGAAATGGCCTAGTTTAATCTCCCCCACCCACGACAAATGGGCCGCTCCAATATGCCAACTCTTTTCCTTCGGGTGCGGAATGGATTCATCCCGCGCCCCCTTTCCGGGGTGGGAAATGAACTCGTCCAGCGTCAATGGGGGCACCTTGGATGAATCCAAGACTGCGGGAACGCGAAGGAAACGGGCGCGGAATCAGCCTGTTGTTCTCGTCTCGGAAGGGGGAATCCAAGGAAGGGCGCTAGGAGTTGAGGATCGGAGAAACGCCGGAGAGGACTGGGAGTGCGTGTGCGTGCGTGAG